ATTTTGAGCTTGTTTACGCCCCTGACTTGCTGGGATTGTTTACCGTTTCCTTCGAGAAAATGTGTTTATTTTATTAAATTTTATCTAATTTGACTATTCTATTCATTTATTATCGTTTTATCATTTCATTTATGTATTATCCTTTTATTATTTAATCTATTTATCATCCTTTTATTTATTTCTTTTTTATTCCTGTTTCGCGGAGGTTCTCGAGTTGTTTTGACTTACTTGCCTTCTGCACCTTGCTTGGGGGTTGTTTACGTCTCCCCTTTATTTACAGATTGCCGGCGATTGTTTACAAAACCGTTTATGGGGTTGTTTACATTTTGATTCTGCTGAGGTTGGCCGTTCTGTTGTGTCTTGGCCTCCCTTCCTGAGGTTCGTGTTTCTTATCGTCTTATTGTTCATCTCTCCGGCGCCGAGGGTGCTTACGACATGCAAATTTTATTGGGTTGTTTACACAGGTATTTCAGACAAGGGGTCTGCCTATCAGAAGTTCCGGTATTGATGATTTTCTCGTTTTTTTTGTGTGTGTGTGTGAGTGCTTTGTTCTAATCTTCCTCTTTCTCATTATATGATCTAAAACTCGATCCGTGATAAATGAATTTGTTTACAGCCCTCCGCGACTGGAGTTGTTTATAAATGGCGTTCTCCGCCGTCCCAACAGACCTCTCCAAGATGAACTTCAGGGCACAGACGTTTCATAAACATTCCCCGTTGATTTTGTTCACAATGGAGAATCTGATCGCCCAGGCCGCCGGGGGAACAGCTGATTGGAGGAGAGAGAGTGCCATTTCCACCAATCACCGGCCGCTATCAGGGGGTTTCCAACATGGTGATCAGGGCTGGAGAATTACCCTTGGATAAGCTCCGTGCGTTCGCCTCGCTGATTGGCTAACGATTTTATTCTTATCAAGTTAACGGTGCTGACTGTTGAGGTTCATGTGTGTGAAGCCTTATGTCCAGGTTGTGCAGTTTATTTTCACTGGCTGTCCCATAGCCATGTGTGCAACGAGGGAACTCCGAGTCGTTAATATGCAAGAGTATATTGGTTTTTATCGTGATTTATCACCAGAAGATCTTACATGAATTTGTGTTATTTGACCAAACAAAAATTTTGCACGCTTGCGCAACCTGGAAAAACAAATTCAATCAAGCAAGAGAGAGATATACAGTTTCACATATTCCCCGACTTCGGAATTGCATTTCTTTAAGTATTCGACATCCTCAAAACTAAAATTAAGGGACGGATTAGAAAAATAATAGGACAAAAATATTACTGGACACGGATGAGCGCGCTGTAGGAATAAATACTTCAGTTAGAATTACGAATGAGCGTAAACATCTCGGAACTTTTTTTTCTTCTTGTTTTCTTCCTAAAACTTCGAGGTTTTGACTTTTACCGTTATACAACATAGTGTTTCGTGTCCTTTCCTTCTTTGCTTTATTCATTTTATTCTATCGCACTTTTTCCTTTATTTTTACTTCTCCCTTTTACATATTGGTCTTCATTTTCATTTACTTTATCTTCATTTTTTTTCCTTATTCTCCTTTGTTATGTTTCTTCTCTTCTTCTTCTTTATAATTATTCCTCATCGTCCTTCTCTGTTTCTTTTCCTCTTCTTCCCCTCTCCTCTTCTTCCTCCTCCCCCCTCCCTTTTACTTCTTCTTCTTTCCCTCCTTCTCCACCGTTTACTTTCACTCCTGATTCGTATTATTCACCCTCTCCAAAATGGACACAAACAAACACAAAAAAACAAACAACCAGCATTTAAACAAACAACCCACCAATACAACAACAACAAACAAAACACCACCAACAACAACAACAATAAACTAAACAGATAAATAAACAGATAAACAAGTGATATTAGATAATAACAGATCGAGAAAGCGAAGACAGAGACAGACGAGCCACAAGAAAGCTCTCTCTCGGATCCTACTTCGTTCCCGCCTTTTGCCCTTTGGACGCCGCGCGGGAAGGCTCTCTCTCGTTGCTTATGCCTCCTTCATCATCCTTCTTCCTTCGCTTCCTCGTTTCTTCGCTTCCTCGTTTGTTCGCTTCTTCGTTTCTTCGCTTCTTCGTTGCTTCTTCGTTTCCTCGTTTCTTCTTCGTGTGTTCGTTTCCTAGTTTCTTCGCTTCTTCGTTTCCTCGTTTCTTCGCTTCTTCGTTGTTTCTTTGCTTCTTCGTTGTTTCTTCGCTTCTTCGTTGTTTCTTTGCTTCCTCGTTTCTTCGCTTCTTCGTTTCCTCGTTTCTTAGCTTCTTCGTTGTTTCTTTGCTTCCTCGTTTCTTAGCTTCTTCGTTGTTTCTTTGCTTCCTCGTTTCTTAGCTTCTTCGTTGTTTCTTTGCTTCCTCGTTTCTTAGCTTCTTCGTTTATTCGTTGTTTCTTCGCTTCTTCGCTTCTTCTTCTTGTTTTTCTTTTAGTTCGCTTTCTTCTTCTTATATTTCCTTTTTTTATTTCCCTTTTTCTTCGTAGTCTTTTTATATTTCTTCTTGTTG